TCTTTGCACGGGGAGAGGTGAAGGCACAGGCCAAGAGGAGGATGGGGCACGGTGCATCGCCCTGGCCAGAGCTGCTGCTTTGCGCTTCCCCAGCTGCAAACACACCAAAAATGTGGATCTCAAATAGGGAGATGCAGAGGGAGGTGGTTGAAGGAAATGAATAGAACCCTCCCATGTTTTGTCCTTGACATGGTACAAAATTCTAGGGGACGGCCTGGCTTGCTACCCTCCTCCCTGAATTTGTACCTCTCCGGGGCAGGATTTGGCCAATGGTGGCCAAAGCACTTTGTGAAGGGGGCACGGTGGAAGCAGGATGGAGAGATGACACCCACCCAAGCGTGGGAGGTTCTTCTCTGCCCTAATCAGCCTTTTTCACCCCCTTCTGATCTGGCCCATCATCTGTTTCCCAAGGAGGTTTACTCCGAGGGTTTTATGTCACCAACTTGCCGTACAGAAAGCCAGTCCCAAGGATGAAAAGCCCAGGGAGAACAAAGCTCCCGCCTGCGGCTCTCCATAGCCCCGCTGGGCCAGGCACTGCCCAGGCTGGCGTGGGACCCCCAACCCCATCTGCTCAGACCTGGGTGCTCCACACCATGCAGATCTGCTCTGGGAAAGAGACTGAGCTCGGCAACATGGGCTGGGGAGCAGAGCAGTGACGGTCTATGTCCATGCCAGGTGGAGAGCTACCCACTGGCAGCTCAGCTTTGCAAGGTGAAACGTGCTGCAAAGCTGCCAAGGAGAAGGCAGGCAGCTCCCAGGCAAAGATGTTGGTCAGTGACGAACCCACTTTCCGAGGTCACGTAGTCATGGACTTTATGCTGCATCTGCATCATTCCCTCCTCTACCGTAGATGGTTCAGCACCTTGGTCACCAGCAGGCGATGGCAGGACCCACTTGGGTGACGTTCCCTGGTGATGCTGGTGTTCAGGGGCCTGGCAGTGCACTTTGGTCTCCCTGGCAGTTGGTGGCATCAGCTTCTAAGGGAGCAGGAAAGGGATGGAAGGTCAGGAGATGTCTGCTTGGTCTTCCCCGCTAGTGAGGTGTGTTTTCAAACGCTATTGCAATGCTCCAGATGTCATCATGACTGTTGTGTCAACATGAGACAGGCAGCACCGCACTGCTCACGTGGGGTTAAGGTTCAGCAAAACATACTGGGAGACTGGTGACAGATGAAGGGAGCAATGGGAAAGGCACTGCCTTAACCGGAGAGGCTTTGTTGCATGTCCAAGCTGCCACCTAATGCTCCGCACCGGCATGCCGGAGACCGGCAGCCTGCCTGGGGATGTGCTGCCTGCGCTGGGTTTCTGCTGGGACGTTCCCAGGCAGACGAGGGGTTGCAGCTGATGCTTTAACTTGCCTCCAAGCATGGAAGGGCAGTGGGTGACTCAAATTCACCCAGCTCAGCATCTGCAGCATGGATTCTACTTGCAGTCTTGCAAAAGCCTTATAAATTTTTTAGAACAGCCCAAAGTGCCTGCTGAGTCGGCCAATCAGCTCAGTGGATTAAGGAAACTTTAAATTATTAACAGCACACAGACAGACACGAGGCCCATGGGGTGGAGGTGGGAAAGGAGAAGTTACGCATTCCTCCTTCTCCAGTGGGTGCCACGAGAGCAGCCAGCACCAGGCTGGGGCTGCGCAGAGGCATCTGCTCACACCTTGGAGGATGGTCCTGTGCGGGGGGTCTTCCATTCCCCATCAGGAAACCCCAACAAGGCATCGGTGCAATGCTGTGCACAGGGTGTGCTTGCATCTTGGAGAGGATGTCCCTTCTGGAAACCGGGTGCTGGTCCACATCCAGCTGTCCCCTGCACCTCCCTCTCCTTCCCTCTTCTTCCAGATCCATTGGTTCCTTAAACACCCTCCTGAAGAGCTGATCTGCTGTTCAAGAGCAAGCCAGCCCTGATGCTCTTTGACTTTCCTGCAACCTCTAGTAATTTTCCCCCCACGAGCTTTAAATTTCAGGTAATATAATCACATTTGCAAACTCTGGTCTCCAAAGAAACAACAATAAGCACTTTGCAGCTCCCAAGACTGTACCCTTCGCTTCGCTATGGACGCGCTGCCTGCCAGGACCAGGCTTTGCAGAGGTGGGACATGGGGCTGGATTTCCTCTCCTTGGCAGCAAATCCAGAAGGACTTCATCCCTTTTTCCACGAGATGGCATCGCTGAGGCTGCTATGGAGGGGAATCATCTGCTGCCGCTTCTGCAGGGAGGGCAGTGATGAAAAACACCTCCAAACCCAAAAAATTTGCTAGGAAAAATTGCCTCCGAGTTCCCAGTTGTGAGGTCCCAGCACACCTGGCCATGATGGGGAGGAATCGGAGGAGAAGTCAGTGTTTTAAAATGCATCTCACCAGCCCAGCCCTACATATCACCTGCCATGGGTCACGCAACACCCTCCTGCTTTCTCACGGTGTTGATGGCTGTCGAATCAACTTGAGTTCACTGCAAGGTGTGCTGAAAGCCATCTGTGGCCCGGTTCAGGGTGATGTTGGGTTGCTTACAATTTTGGTAGAACCCCAAAGTGGGTCACCTGCCCCAAACGAAGCCTCATCCCCAGTGTGCCTGCAAGCCCTGTGGCAATGATTTGCACATGGTGGGTCATTGATCCAATCCCAAAACCCAGATCCACAATGAGTCTTCAGACCCGAGGTTTGGGTGGAGGCAGGTCATGGCTTCATTTGATTTTGATTTGAGATCCCCAGAAATTCAGCATACTTGATTTTGTTTTTTGAACCTCGTGCTTTGAAGTGGGTCTACATTAGAATATTTCTGTTAATTCTGTGTCTCTACAAAGCCTGACCCAAACCTCCCAAAGCCAGGGATGCTGCAGCTGCAGACATCTCACTTGAGGGCCTGCCTCTTCTTTCTGATCCTGCAGATTACCTGGGGTACCAACCACACAGAAATGAGGCTGAAAATTTGGACCTGCTGTGAGCCACGAGCAGGTTTGAGTTAAATCCTCTGGGGTTTATATTTTCCCTTTTCTGCAGCTACACCGTTAATTACCACACCACTTGTGCATTGCTCCCCAAGCATCTTTCACAGCTCCCCTGGCATATTTCTATGGAAACGTAGCTGTGGTTTTGTTAAACTTGCTTTGGCTTTTAGCTATAGAGGACCAGGTGCATATTTTGCACCTGCTCTTCTCTGTCCCTCACCTCACCCCAAGGTTGTCCCCACTCCTGCTGTGCCAGGGAGTGGCTTCCCTTGGGGCCAGAGAGCTGGAGGTTCCTGCACAGCATGGAGGGGATGTTCCCACAGGAGTTCCTGTTCCCTCTACTTTTAAGGATTGAGGAAAAACATGCACATGATGACGTTCTCCCGCCCTGCTTGGGAATACCCAGGAAGGGGCACAAGTCTGCTGTTCTAGCTCAAGGACAACATGCCTCAGGAGCTGGGAAATGCAAGAGGAGCTGGAAGATGAGATTAAACTATCAGTGGGAAAACGACCTTCTCCCGCAGTCATGCTGTGCCTGGGGGGATCCCCAGATCCCCTTCCAATTTGTGGCATGCCAAGGACATGGCACTTCATAGAGCCCAAATGCTGCAAAGACCTTGGGCATCAAATCCATTTCTATGGGGGAAGCTGGTGGCTGTCGGGGGCACGAAGAGGGACGAGGAGCCTCGGTGGCCTGCGCACACAGTTTTGGGGAAGGTGGCTCCGTGAGCCGGTACGCGCCTGTCTGCTGCCAGACCGGTGCATGGGACGGGGATGGTGTTGGGGAGCAGGAGGCAGTGGCTTCACGCAGTGCTCTGTAATTCAGCCTGGCATCAGCTTCTCGAGGCTCTGCCTGGGGGCACTTAGCACTGCAGAGCGTCAGATGTTAATTAGGATCATTAAGGGCTCCTGCAACATAAACAGTAATGATGTTTGTGCCTCTGGAGCTCTCCTGGGAAGGACCTCGCACGATGGTGTCCTTCACAGAGCCCGTGCATGGCATCCGCTCCCAGTGCTGTGGCTTCTCCTAAAAGCCAAGTCACGAGCACAGACAACCTCAGGATGCCCCAGCACGCCGCTCACCCCACCTTCACCGAGGAAATGTCCCTTGGAAATGTCCCCAGAAGCACCCTCACACCTCCTCTCTCCACCTCCCTGCCCTGCTGTACCACCTCCCGCTCCTGCCCACGCTCGGTGCTCGCACCCCTTTCCCCTCAAAGCTCTCAGCTGACTGCGTTTTGGTCAGTCCTAAACACTTGGCAAACACAAGCCTTTGAATTGGGACAGGTGACACTGGGACGAGTGGGGAGAGGCGCAGACCTTGCCCCGGGCTGCAAGTTTGCAATGGGAGCCAAGACACCATGCTGGGTGAAGACCATGAATTTTGGGACTTCTTGGGAGTCCTGAGTCACATCTGGGCTCCAGCACATGGCCTCAGCTGGGGAGAAACATTCCTGTCATGTTGTTTGGAAAGGGCTGGAGGATCCGCTGTGTGTGAGGCAAAGAAGTGTGTAGAGAGAAGGCAGCCTTGGCCGATTCTCCCAAAATGATGGGGTATTCCAAAGAATAAAAGCGATGCTGCCAGCCCTTCAAGGAGGCATGAGGTATGGTATTTTCTCTCTTTAAATGGCATAACTTTAGAGGGTTAACTTAAGCTTATTTTGCATGGAAAAAATTATAATAAAGGCCCTGATAGTTGATATTGGAAGGTTGAGCAGGTTAAGGACAATATCAAAACCCAGGCTGCTGTAAGAGCAGCCCCTGCTTTAGGCTGGCACAATCAGACCAGACACCTACATCAGTCGAGGGGCAAGAGCTGGGGAAGGGCTGGGCACTGGGTGACAGCCTGAATATGGGTGCCAAGCACTCCTCCTTCCTCCAAATTTCCATCCCAGCCCTGCCTGTGCCCGTCCCCACCATCTGCTCTAAGTGGGACTACAGGAAGCCCATCAAAACCAGCCCCTCTCAATGACAGACGCACACACAGAGCTCCACACCTTTTGGGTTGGTTGGTTTGTTTTGTTTTTTTGTTTTTTGTTTGTTTTTTTTTTCCACTGTGGATGTTCTACCAGTTTTATTGGTAAAATTAACATGAAGCCTCACAAACGCTGGAACATGCTTTTCCTTTTAAAGAATTTCCACTGGACCTTAATGGTGAGCATCCAGTCGTTGACATATAAACTCTTACAAGCTGATGTGCACACATGCGCCCGGGGGAGACGGTGGCAGCGTCCTGGTGTCAGGGATGGTTTCTGCGCGATGCACTGGGAGCCCACAATTCATTTGCCAGCCTTCTGGGCCTTCTGGGCAGACTTGGTGACTTTACCAGCCCCGCCGCTTTTCTTCTCCACGTTCTTGATGACACCCACAGCCACGGTCTGCCGCATGTCACGGACAGCGAAGCGGCCTGTGGGGTGAAGAGAGGGGGGACGTGAGCGAAACGCGGCCGCCTTGCCCTCCCTAAGGCTGAGATCTTCTGGGTGGGTGACGGTGGGATCTACACCCACCACTCGTGGTGCCATGCGTTACCCCTGTCCTTGGAGCAGGTTCCTGCAGGAACGAGCCCTGAGCCACCAACGCTTGCTCTGACCGCCAAGCTAGCCTGATGCTCCTCTCTGTTTAAACGGCTGTTTGTTAAACTTAAATCATATCTGCTCTCTGCAAGCTCCTGGCATTGTTAAAGCTTCCAGATGTGCAACATCATCCAAGGAAAGCACAACACTCCCCTGCATTAAAAGGTGTCCTCTGCTGAGCAAACTTCCCTCTTTCTTCCCCTGACCAGTTGTGTTTTAGGGCAGAGATAGGGAAGCTGAAAAACGTTTCTGCATTCAGAAACCATCAGGGTTTAGGAACTTTGAAGGAAAGGCTCTGTTCCTCCCAGAGGGAAAACCCAACCCTGCCTTTGGAAACCCAGCTCAGCAGAAAGCCCATCCCACCCCATTGACCCTAACAAAGTTCATGCATCAGATTTTGCACCCCCAGCACGTGGGGGAGTAACAAAACATGCTCAGCTCCCTCCCCGGTCTAACTGGTGGGGGATACTGTGAGAGGCTTAGGACGGCTGGTGTGAGCTCTACAATCATAGAGACTTGATGCTCCTCCAAGAGGAGACCTCAAAAGAGCCATTCCCTTACCAAGGGGTGGGTACTGGGAGAAGCTCTCCACACACATCGGCTTGCCAGGGATCATCTCCACGATGGCCGCATCACCCGATTTCAGGGACTTGGGGTTGTCCTCTAGCTTCTTGCCAGAGCGCCTGTCAATCTTCTCCTTCAGCTCGGCGAACTTGCAGGCGATGTGTGCGGTGTGGCAGTCGATGACGGGTGAGTAGCCGGCGCTGATCTGGCCGGGGTGGTTCAGGATGATCACCTGGGGGACAGAGCAGTGTCAGGGCAAGGCTGGGAGATGGTGGATGGTGACAAACTGTGCGTGGTGGCACCACCAGCTCTGCTGACCTGAGACGTGAACTGCGCTGCCTCCTGCGGCGGGTCCGACTTGCTGTCCCCGCAGACGTTCCCGCGGCGGATGTCCTTGACGGAGACGTTCTTCACATTGAAGCCAACATTGTCCCCGGGCAGAGCCTCGCTCAGGGCCTCATGGTGCATCTCCACAGACTTCACCTCAGTGGTGATGTTCACGGGTGCAAAGGTGACCACCATGCCAGGCCGCAGGATGCCGGTCTCCACCCGGCCCACGGGGACTGTGCCGATCCCTGTGGAGACAAGGACAGAGCAGAACAAAATGTAACGTGCTTGTCATATCCCTGGGCCAGAGCCTGGCTGCAGCAAAAGCAAGATATCTCCAGTAGTTTTCATCAAAGACCACGTTTACTTCTTGCAAACCAAAAAAACCCCAGATTTTAGCTGCAAGATCAACATTAGGGTCTTCAAAAATACCACAAGTCTGTCCTTTCTACCCAGAGTTTTGTAAAAATGAGTAACACCAGAATCAGAAGGCCCTGAGCAACCCACGTGCCCTGGAAGCTCTTCTTTGGCAGCAGCCGTGGCACCTCCTGTGTGGAGGACCGGGCACGTCGTGGCGTGCATGCAGCAACACGCTCCATATCCCTGATGGCCGCACCATTAGCATGGGATGAAGCCCCACTGTGCCACGGAACGAGGGTGGCTAGTTAAATGAAGAGGACTTTTTACACCCTCTGTCATCAGAAGACTTCGGGAAAACTCACCTTCGGAGTCAGGTGAAGAATCATTAAGAGAAATGACCTTGAAAAGAGGTTGGGGAGGTTGGCTGGACCCATCTGCTCCTCCACATCCACCCTGCTGCCTCCACCTCTTCCCATCCCACTGCGTCTCTGCTCTCTAAGGACCTGCCTAATGGTAAAACCATATCTCCTTCCCCGACCTGAGCTAGGGAGGACACAGACCTGCTCACCGCCTTTCATCTCCATCGTAAACAAGAGACCGTGTTAAAAAGCCTGCTAAAACCCATGTTCAATCCCTGCCTGGTTTCTGCGGTGCACGTGTCCTTAGAAAAGTGTGGAAAAGGGCTGGAAACGGCTGTGCCTGCCTGATCCGGCAGCTGGGGAGTCAGCAGGGCTGCCCGCTGCTGCCAGCAGGTCAGAGAGCTCACGGGGTATTTATAGCTCAGAAAAGCGTCCCCATCACCGCTCCAGAGGGAAAGGGAGACGCGCCGACCGACGCGCTCCCTACATGGCTGGTGCCGTGGCCCAGCTCGGCAGACGGAGGTGCCGGTGATGGACACCAGCATTTGGGAAGCATGGGCAGACCGCGGCCAAGCTGCCACGCACCAGCCTCCCCGCTGGCCTTGTCCCTCATCCGGGCCCCAGCACGTTTTTGCTGCCTCCATCTTGCCCTGCCAGCTGTGTGACCTCTGGGACACCCAAATTTGCAGCCATTTTGGCATCGTGTATTCCCTGGGGAGAATTTACAAACCTGCTGCTCCTCTCTGGTCCCTGGGCACCTTCGGGCATGTCACCCTCCGACCCCAGACAGCCCAGTCTCAAATGGGGTCTTTGCCCTGGAGCTAGCACTCTTCTCCCCAACACGATCTCAAGTTTGAGTCCAATCCCTCCAGTTTCCCAATACCTGGAAACGTCATTCCCAAATTCCCATGGAATGAAGACTCCGTTTAAAGCAGAGAGAAGAGGGACTTTTGCTCACCTCCAATCTTGTAGACGTCCTGGAGGGGCAGGCGCAGGGGTTTATCTGTGGGGCGGGTCGGGGGCAGGATGGTGTCCAGGGCCTCCAAGAGGGACACCCCACTGGCGTTGCCTTCCTTGCGCTCCACCTTCCAACCTTTGAACCAAGGCATCTGGAAACAGAGCAGCAACAACAGGCACTGAGTGATCAGAAGTGATCCCAGAGAGATGTCCCACCAGGACAATTTTCATGGAGTTAGTCCAGCCATGTCCTGGCTTTGCCTGGGGACTGGGGAGCTCTTTTCACGCCATCCCTGCAGGCTTATCTGCACCCCCTTGCTCAATCTCCCCCCTCTCTCCTAGAAATGTGCGAAACATCCATTAACAGGAAAAAAAAGGATGGAAGTGGTTAAATCCAGCAAACTCACAGTCCCCATTCCCAACACCAACCTGTGGATGTTGCCTTCCCATGCCAGCTGCCTGGATCCTGCCCCCCAGCAACGATGGCACAGGGACCAGAGGGTCTCCAGCCAAGTCCCAGCTACAAAGCGCCCAACCTTCACTCTTGGGAAGCGAGTTTCTTCAAGGAGAGCCCCAGGCAGACCTTTCTCCCCACTCACTCCTGCTATCACCCCTCCAGGGTTTGGTTTTTAAACCCTGGCTTGGGAGGATGCTGGAAACCTGGTGCTTGCACTAGGGCTGCCGAGGGGCAGGATCATTTTTCACAGATGCTCTCTGCTTCTGCCCTAAACTGGACCCTTGAAGCTAAAATTGGCCAGAAAAGAGGCAGAGAGGCAGGGAAATGTGCTCAGCAGAGCCCATGGTTTGATGCAGGGAACCACACTGCTTTCCTGAAGTGATGCTGCACATCTGGAAGCTGTAGCAATGCCTGGGGCTTGCTGGCAAGAAAAATTCAGTCCTGGGTCTGCAACAACCCTGATACAACAAGCAGAGATCAGAGTCTGCAAGGTCATTCCCCCTTCCTCCACACAGAGAGGTTTTGATGATATTTTCCCATTCAGATGTAAAACGCTGCCTGTGTGCCCCAGCCCCATCGCACACGTTACGGATGTGGCTTTCCCCTTAGGCACCAACATCGGTGGCACAGTGCATTGGGTATGTGGCTTGGGCTAGGGATGAAATGGGACCCCCAGAGTGCCCCCAGTTTCACAGCCATCCCTGGAGGACACGGCCATGCCAAGGCTGCTTTCCCATCCTGCAGTCTGCACCGCTTTTGGGAAGGAGCGAGGGGAAGAGCTGGGTGCAGCCCGGGAATTCAGCCTGCATCGAACACATTCAGGTCAGCCTCTCTCAGAGGGTCACGTTTGACACGGATTGCCCTCCTCGGTGACAGTGGCAGGAGGAGCCTGGGGACACTTTTGCAGAGGGATCCCTCCCAGGCCACTGCAGCTATTGCCACGCAGCCGGCCCC